GATTCAATAAAACAAGGTCCTTTATAACTTTAGTGCATCACAGTTTTCCACCAGCACTTTAGTTTAAGTGACAGAGACAGAAATCAGTCGTTGTGTTTGCTTGTTATTCTGCAGAGCTGCATATTTGAACAAAAGCTCAAGCTAGACGGAGTCGAAAGAAACCCTTTCATGTCCTCAGTTTAACGTTTGGGGAAAGCTAGTTTACTATAAGCCAAGATCAGTGAGATTACTACTGCACTGATGCTTCCTACACTGATTTCCAGTGAGTGGCAGGTTGCAAACTTTAGACACAATTATGACATCTTAGATTAGCTTGTCGGACCTCCGGTCACAACATTACGTTCATTCAGTTTTGTTTTTTATACCTGCAAAGACAAAAATGATGGAAGCCCAACAAGGTAACAGTAGAGAGGAAAAACATCCCTTTAACAAGAAACGAATAATAAAAACATTGAGACGGAGATGGTTCGTTTACCAGATGAATAAATTAGATGGAAAAATCAAGATTAGTTGTAAAGAAAACATTTGAGAATAATGGAATCAAATCATTTTACAAATACTCCATTAATCACAGCCTTCAATAACCAAAACATGTTTAAAAGTGTGGAACTGTGAGTAACTTCAGACACAGAACCTCAGACTGCAGCGTTTTTGGTTGTTTGTACACATGCGTGTGCAGGACGCGTCAGTGCTTCAGTACATGCCACTTTATTTCACTACAGTCTACATGACATTAGCAAAGTACTGCAGAACCATCTGCTTCACTTTCCACCTCATTTACAACAGAAAGAGGCCGGGGCGCTGTATAAGAGCCAAGAACCAATCACCAGCTGGCGTGAAATATTAATATTTTAAACGAATGGCGTTATTAGTGCTGCGTAGCAGAGGAGTAACATTTAAACGTGTAGTTGGCTGATCGCACACGTCACTAAAGCGTGACGTCGCTGTTCCGTTTCATGCGTTCTTTCTCTGGTTTTCAGCGTCGCCACCTTGAGCCGGCCGTTGGTGGGGGGGGCTATAAAAATAAGACTGATGCAAATTGAATCTCAGCCATCTTGTTAAAACAAGTCATTTCAGTGCATCTCCAGGCAGTTTGGCCCTTGGAGACGGTCTCAGCGGTCCGACGGCATCGGCACACCTTTGGCGTCACGCTGCCTTCACGCTGCCACGTGGCAGTTTTCTTTCAGAGAATGATAAAGTATTTATTCTGCTCCACTTCATCTTCTCATCTAGCAGTAAATGGGAAACTAAATGAACTCTTGATGGTTTCTTACTGATTTCTGCTTCTCTTTGCAGAATCACATAGAAAACCTGTTTTTGTTACTTGTTCTGTGCGTCTGGTCTTTGCTGTCTTTACCTTTGCTTTTCAAAATGTCTTACAAATAAATACACAATGACTGTGAGCTCTTGCAGCAGCAGAGCAAACACTTATGTAATCAGCTGAGTAACACTGCTCACATCATGTTAAAGCAACTTACAGCCGATTCAGTGACATAAAGAAAATAGTTTTTAAGAACACTCGTAAAATTTAAGGCCACATTTTTCTTATTAAATTAACACAATTATTGCTGCTTTTACAGTTAGTGAGACATTATTGGTATAATGCTTTCATAAGTATGATAATTGTTTCTTTATATGGTAAAAGCTGGGATCAGTTCTTGTCCCTGTTCCTTTACTAACTCAAGTCTCATGAGGTGACTGTGCATGACTTTAATTTCTAGGGGAGATTTGACCCAGCTTGACATTAGTTAGTGTGTAACAGTGTCCACGCTGCATGCCTCACACAGGTTTAGCTGTACGTCGAACAGCTGTGGCGATGAAGGATCCCGAGCCGCTCTGCAGTGACCAGGTTGTTCATGTTTGATCAGTTCTGAGCTCTAACCGTGGCGTTGACTTTGCTTGTGTCTCTCTGTGCCGGCTGAAGGTGTTCGAGGCTTCAGACTTTGGCTCTCACCCCCTGTTCTCAGTGGCACAGGGAGGAGTGGACCTGCAGCAAGTGAGTATGGCCGCCTGGGGCAAGGGTCGAGGGTCAAAGGTCACTGCATCACTGCCTTTGTTTCCATCTACCAACGAGCTGCTTTGACTGGAAGCTGGGCTGGAAAGATGGAAACATTTAGAGCTGCAGTCAGCTGCTCCAGACTGAAATGTGTTCACTATACGATGTAATGAGAAGCCCTGCAAACATTTGTAAAAGTTTAATGATTTAATTTTGCGAGTACAAATATATGCACTGCTCAAAAGATTAGAGAACACACTGAAAACACATCTATCAGCACTGATATGGACTCAGCGTTAGGAATGAAAGGACCTGCACAGCTCTGAAAATCAAAGTGATGATGCATCAGGCTAGCCACTGCAGCAACTCCAAACGGTACTCAGCAGTTTGTCCACGTGCTTGTCTTGTATGCTTGTCTGAAAATGGCGGCGCACACTCCTAATACGATGAACGGTGTCCTGGGGGATGTCCTCCTAGATCAGGACAGTCTGAGGGGCAACCTGGTGACGTCCAAGAGGTCTTCTATTAGATTTAGATCAGACGAGCCCGAGGACCATCGGTGGCATCGATTCCTTCATCCTCCAGGAACTGCCTGCACGCTCTCACCACATGTCGTACACCAGGAGGAACCCAGGACACACTGCACCAGCGCAGCCTCTGGCAATGAGTAAAAGGATTTCATCCCCATACCTGATGGCAGTCAGGGTGCTGCTGCCTGGCCTGTACAGGCCTGTGCGTCCATCGCTGATCCACCACCAAACACTCGCTGAACGATCTTACACACATAACGTTCTCCAGGAGAGCGTTCCACGTCTGTCACGTGTGCTCAGGGTGAACCTGCTCTCATTTCTGAGAAACTGAGGGCATCTGCTGTGGACCTGCCACTGCTGGTATTCTACGGCCAACGGGGCTCCGTAGTCCCGGGCCGAGAGCACAGGGTCTACTGATGGCCCTCAAGACACAAGACACACCTTCATGAAGTCTGTGTCTGATTGTTTGGTCAGAGACGTTCACACCGGTGGCCTGCTGGAGTTCATTTTCTTGGGCTCATCCTGTTTCTGCACGGTTGAACCTGCAGCCGTGTCCCACAATCTTTGGGCCATTTTGGGAGAACGCCTACTGGCTGCCCCTCCCTGAGCCTGCTTCTTTTGGAGCACCCAGTGCTACTCATGAGAGATGACCTGTCATTGGAGGATCAAGACCTTACAAATACGGTCCCAAACCTTGGGTTGGGCTGCAAATACTAGTAGAAAGGAGTAGAAAAAGCTGACTAAACTAAAAGATTTGACAAAGTTTCAAACGTGACGTGTTTGGCAAAAGTTCATAGAACAATATAAAAGTTCCAGAAAAAGTCTTTCAAGTGTCTTTATTTGCAAAGTCCTCAGTTTGCTGTTTTATGCAATTCTATTCACATAACTCAAATTTTTCTCAGGATAATTATGTCGTTTTTCAGCTGCACTCAATTTGCAGATCAAACCCTTCTTCCCATTCGGTCCTCATTCCCCACACAATGCAAAAGCTCGCCTCCTATTTATTCAGATTTTTGCTTAAATGGTTCATCGCCAACACACGGCAGCGCTTTTGTTTCGGTTTTCGCTCTAAATCAACAGATCTTTTTGTTTCGGTCAGTCGTGTGAGGCAGGTAAACAACCGCCTCCCTCGGGCCGGGGAGCGAGCCAAAGGACCCGAATTCAATCATGCTGCTGCTGCGCTGCAGCCGACACTGGCATCGTAAAAACAGATGGTCAGTGCGGTCAAGGATGCCAGATTAACACCTCTGCACAGAGGAGCTCAGTAAACATGAATCTTCTTTTTCACATTAAAAGCAAACAAAATGCAGGCGCACGATAGCCGAGGCTGAGCGAAGACGAATGCCGTGGAGAAAAAGTACAAAACAGGCAAAGAAAAACACGGAATCGAGGAGGAAAAGAGACGTGACGAATCGAGACGGGAAAAAGTAAGTGCAGGGAAGGAGAGGGAAAGATGAAGAGACGAGCGGGGATGCCGAGCAGCTCCTCCTGGCGAGTTTAATCGCCGTTAAAAGCTGAGAGGGGTCGGCCTCCTCGCTCTCGGTGCTTTCACCTCCCAGGAACGCATCCGTTAAGGAGTTTTCCCCCCGACTCATTGTTTGCTCTGAAACACAAATGAAGCAGAGGTAGAGCCTGTGAAACAGCCGTTGGCTATAATTGCAAGGATGGATCGGGGAATGCACGGGTCATTTTTTATGTGCTTGTATCCTAGAGGGCTGCCATCAGGTTCACAGTTCTCAAACAGGCTTAAAAGTGGCTTAATGAATCCAAAACGTACAGCAGGTGGGATGCTATCAAAAGCACAAACACTCAATACAGCCTCATTATTCTAATGCTCAATAACAGCTGTGCTGCTTTGCAGCAGCTGAACCAGAGCTCCACGGTGTGTTGATGTGCTGGATATGTTGAGTACCACAAACTTCCTTGAGACTCTAATGGAGTCTCAGAGTTGTTAATTAACAACATTTCTTCATCAAGTTACTCGTAAACTCGATGCAAACATCACCGAGTTCCCTCAAAGAGCGTTTTCTGATGCACATTAGCTCTAATTAAATGTCGTTTCTAGGAGACAGACACACACCTGCAGTCTGGCTCATGAAGCTCACCTGCAACAGAACTGCACGTTTAATCACATTTACAGGAAAATATCATGTCTCCAGCAAAATACCTTAAAAACACAGGTATTAATAATGACCATGATTCATACAATAATAAAAGAAATGATGCAGCACCATCGGGGATGGTGATTCTGGTCGATGTTACTTGGATGCTGGTTGTTGAGGTTGAGGTTTGGAGATTATGAGCGGTGCCTCGTGACCGGCGGTCATCGTCTGAACGAGCAGAGGTCTTTACATCGAAGCGGGTTTCAGGACTTCAGGGTTAACCCTGCGTCCACATCACCATGGTAACTTCTGCAGCTAACCTGCTCTGGAGCGGACTGCGTTTGAGAGCAGAGACCAGCGGGGGTGAAATCGTTCTCAGTTTCCTTTTACAGACCTGTGAGCACAGACAGGCTTTGTCTGTCCGTCTTATCAGTAAGAAAGATAAAGAAATCTGGTTTTATAGATTTAATATATCCATCCTTCCGTTCTCGTCCGCTTATCCATATTGGGGTCGCGTCGGGAACGGAGCCTTTCTCAGAGTTAATATAGTTTGGGGGGTTTTCTTTGTTTTCCCCGTTGGCTGCAAGTAATTTTAAAACTGCTCTGGACCTGATGTCATATTTGTAGTAGTCCGAGGATAGATTTGAATTCTAGTTTTATATTTATCCTTGGCTAAAAACACAGGTGTGGATATTAATTTGATGGAGTAAATGGCTGTTCTAACGAAGCGCGGTGTGAAGGCTCAGGACCTTCAGACAGGCTTTGTAACTGTAACACACCTTTCCCCGCCTCACTGACCAGCGTGCACACACACACACACACACACACACACACACTGCTGCAGTATGTTGTTTAACCTCTTTGTATTTCATATATCGTGCAGCTTTTGTAAGTCGCTCTGCTGGCCGTAGGCGGGTTACACCATCACTGTCATGTGACAGACTCTGCTTCTATTTACCGTTTTTAGTAACCGTATTTGTTTGACCGCTGAGCCTCGTTGCTGTGTTGAACCCGCCTCATGGCCCAGGAGTTCACGTTATTCTTGACTTCATGTTTTGCTAACAGCACCTGCACCATGCAGGAAGTGAGCAGATAGCAGATTTTGGCCATTAATCTCTCCTAAGCTGTTTTAGGACAGCGTGATGAATAGTCTGCGAGCTGGCAGTACATCAGCCTGTAGGTCAGGTTTATGCACTTATGTTAAATCCACTTTAATGTGTTTGGGTTTGTTGTGTGTGTTGTGTGACTGTAACTGAAATTATGTGACTTACTGATCTGAGCATAATTTCTGAGCTCTTATCGTCTTGAAGTGTATCCAGATTTTCTCACATATCTCACGTGTACTCGTGCATGAATCAAACCTACAATCTGATGAAATTTTGCGCCTCTTCTACGAGGTTTTTTCCCCCCGGTGAGCGCTGGTGCATAAATAGCTTCATGTCAAGGGCGCGGGTGTTCAGACCAGACGTAACGGTCTGAGGTCAGTTTGTGTGTCGCCGTCATTAGCCACACGTCCTTCAGCCAGACGCTGAACCCGCCATCGCTGCGTCGTGTTGGTTTAAAAGCGGCCTCGGGCCACGCTGCTTCTACATTTAAAATTCTTTCATCCAGCAGAGCCTCTGTGAGTGATCATCTGAGGGTGTGACTGCAGCGGCTCATGGCTTCATAAAAGATGCACACATCCCCTCTCAGCGTTTTTAAACGGTGTTTTTCCCGTCGTCACCTTTGCCTTTGAAACCCAGATCCACAGTCGGCAGCGTCTGCCCGACGAAGCTGAAAACCTCGTGGAGAAAAGCAGAGACAAACACACGGTAACCTCGGAAAAGCAATTTAGAGGAATGAACTTCTCTTTTCTTGTTTGAGCTGAATGGAGTGAATACAAGCTCGGCTGCTTCAGTGTAAAATGTTCTTCTGACTTGAAATGATTACCACAATAAATGAGTTTTTATTTTCAAATATGATTTTTATATTCTCGGGCTTCTCGACATCCAGTATTTCAGATTTTAGTCCGAAGAAACTGCTGGTGGTGTGAAAGCTACATCTTTAGCAAATGGTGAATGATCTCCTTGTTTCTTAATCGGGAAAAGGATTCAAGCCAAAATCAATCGTAATTAAGCCGTGAAACATTTAGAATAAAGTCTCTGGGATCAGCGCGAAGCATGAAGTCACTCAGCAGGTCGTGTTGTGTGTTAGAATTTACCATTGTTGTCCTTTGCGTGTCTTATTCACACTATAAGAAATGTTTAAATCTGATATTAAAGTGGATTTATTCAGCTTGGACGCCCAAGTTTGTGAATGAAATAACTTGAGAAGAAAGTCACCTGGATTTTAAAGTTGATGAACCATAAGTGTGTCAGGAGGCTGAGAC